TTTACTAAAAATAACTGACAAAATCTTAAGGTTAACTGTAATTGTAAGATATATTTGAATATATCAAGTTCAATATTTAGGACAACAATATGTACCTTAAGAGTATACGGACATTGTTAGTGTATTTCATTGTGGGCCTATATTATTAAATTTAAGGCTAGCATCCAAAAAACTCCAAATTTTTAAATATCTATCTATACATACATACATACATACATAAAATGAATTATACATACACATGCACTTCATTGTGGGCATATTATATATGTATTTAAAAAGTTGGGTTTTTTTTATGCTAACCTTGACTTTCACAATATATAGGTCCACAATGAAATACACTAATAATGTCAATATACTCTTAAGATACATATTGATGTCCTAAATATTGAACTTGGTATGTTTGAGTATCTTACAATTAAGGTTACCCACCCATCTAGAGACACACACACACACACACACACACACACACACACTTTTAGCAACCAGAAAAAAAATAAAATGTTAATGCTCAGAAAAGGAAGCTGATTTCTGTGAAGCAGTAGAAGGGGGTTGTCACTTACCCCCATCTGGAATAGGACCTGTAGACACTGAACTCAGTGGCTAAAAATAAACAGAATATGACATCAAGTTTCATATATACTGTGCTACAATTGTGAAGTTGTAGCTGTAGTTTTTAACTAACCGTTACCAATATAGAAATATGGCTGATTGTTAGCAATTAATTGCCAGGGAATTGATATGGTAGAATTCCCAAGCATTAAGTGTATGCTTCCTTGTGAGCTACCACACTAGCTACTAGTCAGCATGCAGAAATCCTAGTGCCAAACAGATAAGATAGGTAGAGAGGGGGGAACCTAGACTTAAATCATATTTGTAATAATGTAACAAAGACCCTGACTAACTCTTTGCTGATATTTGTTGTTTAATACCATGAAAAGTCTTCGTTATGATTGGTTTTATGGCAGAAATCCTGAGTTTCTGCCTAAAAGCGTTAGACCTCTTTAGTTTCATATTATATTCCATCAGCATTGTAATGTGGTTAAGTTATTCTTAGCCAGTTTTCAAATTACATTTAATGTTTAACAGGAAATTAGAATAATTTTCCATATTTATAGGCATTTGACTCAAGTAATTATGCTCTTCACCCCCACCCCAAAGATTTAGTAGCTATTCTACTAATAACTGAATGATCTGGCAGAGCACTTGTGACAAGAAACTGATCAACCAAAACGGAATACTCTTCTGAATTCAAGGTACTGTTCATGTTTGTTTTGCACACTAGATGTGATCTAAAGCAGCATGATTTACCCATCCTTTGGTACTTTAAAATATATGCTACCATATAAATGCAAAGATGTCACCGTTTTCTTAGTAAATGGTAAGAGGTTAAAGTTGCTTTTCCAAAACAAAATTTTCTTGAACAAAACCTTTCCTGGAGGAGGACGCAGGCGGGAGGGGAAGAGGAGAATGACCAAACAAAACATTTGTGCAATAAACTGGAAAAGTAAAAAGTGAAACTATTTCAGGGCACAGTCCTGAAAACCGCTAGTCAAGTGAGCAGTCCTAATTCACACAAATAGTCCCACTGACTTCACGGAGATTACTCAGGAGTAAGGGGCTTGCAGAATCAAGCCATGTAAAGCCACAATTACCTCTTCCACTGGTGGATCTGTTCCTTTAACAGTTTTACATGCTAACTGTTGTGCTGCAGTCTGTTCTTCTTCAGACAGAGGTGAAAGCTAGGGGAAAAAAGAAACTGCTATTTTCACCACTTGCGGTGGGATTTTCAGAAGTACTCTGTTTGCTTAAATCTTTTCCCATTTAAAACTATGATAAACTCCCATTAACTTCAATGGGAGAAGAGTTAGGGGCTGAGTGTTTCTGAAAATCCCACCATTAAACTCATGTTCAAACTCCAAATAAAATCTACTCATAGTATTCTAATGTTAGAACTATAGATTAACATCTGAAAAATAAGTGTTCCATTTAAAAAAATTTCTAATCCCTTCTTTTAAATTGTTTCATCAGTCTCTGCTATAGTAAGTATAGAGATGGCTACAAACAAATATACAAACTACTGGCTGAAAACTTGTTGCCTAATCCTCCTTGGCAAGTAAGTGGCTTATGACTTTACCACTTCACCCCAGGACAGAAACCTATAAAATTATTCTCAACATGCTACTTGGCAGCCTAACATTGGCACAAATGGAGAGGAAAGGTAATTGTATTTTCTCCTCTGACTGTGAGGGAAACTGCCATTTTTTAAATAACGAGAAGGCATAACTTTATATATAAATATAAAAGTAAGAGTCACAATGTTTGGTTAGGGACACTGTCAGATTAAATATAATATTTTGAGAGAGGCAGTGCCATCCAGTCAGTGTACTGAACACAGGGCTGGGATCCAGGAATATCTTAGTTTAACATTCTCTCTTTGATGTTTGGCTTGTCACTTAACTTCTCTAGGTTTAACCTTCCCTGTCCATAAAGTAACAATAGGAGGGTTTCTAAGGATTAAGTAGTCAGTGTTTGCACAGCACTTAGAAACACAAGGAAACTTTTTAAAAAATATGATAATGCTTATAAAAGCTTTACATTTTCTAACATCTGAGACTATTAAAAATTAAAATAATTTTAGACTGTTCACAATTTATATTTACTGCCACTCAGACAGTGAAAAATAGATTAGTCATTTTCAGTTTTCTTTACAGTCAGTTTCACTTTCTACCTGGCAGCTTTCAAGATAATAGATAACACTTGAAAGATCAGTTTAAAAATTGGGATTTAATTCAGTGTCTGAGACATCAATTTCCATCAAACTATTCAGAGACATGGGGTATGATTCACCATTGTGTTTCTCCATCTTGAAATCAACGGAATTCCACCAGAATTACCTTGGATTACCACAATGCTGAATCAGACCTAGGAGTTCAACAATGGGCCCAGTCCCAGAAACCTTAATTAATGTGAGTAGCCCCACTGACTTCAATAGGGCTGCTCAAATGCAAAAGCATTTTTTGGATTGAGTACAATATATTGAGCTGTTACTTCAGTAATGTGAAATATCAGATCTCTCAACAGAAAACGTAAGAAAATTTTCCACACACAAAAAAAGAAAATCTAACCCCTGTTCCAGTAACATTTTTGTACATACATGTTTATTCTTGATTTCAAAGGAACTACTCCCATCCATAAGGTTACATGTGTGCATTTACAGGACTGGGGCCCATATTAGTAAACTGAAAACATTACCTCAAGATCAGCGTGTCGCTGTAGTGCCTGCACCATCTTCATAGTGTTCTCTAGAGTAGCATGAATACAGCTCATAGACTCTCTTTGCTCTTTGGAAATTTCTTCCAGCTGTGCACATAACATTTTATAACGTGACTTCACTACTGAGAGTTTCTCTAAGAGAGTCACTGGATTTTCCTACGTCAAGGTGAAAAAGTACATTTAAACTAGCAAGATATTAGAAAGATGATCAATTTGGCTACACAAGACTAAACATAGGATTAGATGTTCCCAAAGTATATGGCAACTAGAGCTGTTAAAAAAAGAATTGAAAGAGACACTTGGTCAGTTAAGTGCTTCCACTATAATCAGTAGCGCATTACCTATAAAATGACATCTTTCATGTTTTGGAAAGTCTTACTTCATCTACCCATGCCACATGATAACTTTTCATAGGGAAACATAAATAGTAATAAGCCACTAACTCTCTGGTTCCACAGAAGATACAGTAGAATGAAGATTCTGTGTTTTGGTGCTTTCTTAATTTTTCTGAGTTAGAACATGTAAGACGCCTCTTGTAAAAATCAATGTTCTTTTTCACTGCATCTGAACATATGGGGTGGGTGAGGGAAGATTTACAAAAAAATACTATAAATAACGCATTATACTCCCCCTTACCCTTTTTCTTTCTCCCACAAGCCTGAGTCTAGTCATCATTTGTTGGCTGATCTATTGCAAGGGTCATAGCAGAGGTGTGTCTTGAGGAGGGTGTTGAAGTTGACAGTGCCTGCTAACACTTCAGCTGATTTCTCAAAACACAAGTATGGAGCATTCCATTATACTAAGATGTGGTTATTTTGAAATAAATCTACATCAACTGTCTTGGTATGTTTTTGTTCTATTTTTGCAACAAACAAGATGACCAGGAGTTTTGATATATATATTATACAAACACACACACACACACGTTTTATGATTAAAGAGAACTACCCATTTACAGTCAATTTGTGCAAGATACAACAAAATTTACAAATTTAATCTGAAAATAGTACCTCTGCTGATGGATTATCAGGAAGGTTTTTCATTATTTCAAACTCCAATTTGTGCTGAATGTAATCCAGATCAGATTCTGCCTTCTGGAACTAAAACATTGAAGATCAACCACAATGTATTAAATAACAAAAACAGACAAAAAGCATAGTCATCTATCACTCTTTCCTGCACTAACAAAACAAACAACAACAAAAACCCAACACCCCACCCCTACCCCCAGAAATCAAGATGTTTCAGTTTGAAAGACTGATGTACTATAAGCAAGGAGTTGTTCCCCCACTTACTAATGTTTGTAGGTTATTCCAACCTTCTTATATACACACCAAAGAGTAAACCTGCAAACTCTTTATAGTCAAAGTAATTAAAGGTAACTAGCCTTAAAGCAATTAGCTAGACAAGAACTTGACAGGCAATGAGAAGTAGTGGCCAAGAAGGTCCTTGAAAAACTTACAGGAGCAGACAGTCTGCAGCATTTTCTTGCATTATCTGATAGTTGAGCTCACTGCTCTTCACAGTGCAAGTGTTGCATATTATACAGTAAGCCCCTGTTGCCAGTATGTAGTTTAGACAAAGGAAAATGGTGACCCAGAATTGAGAGGGTAAATTAAAATTTTTTTACATCAGTCAAACCAGGGTAACATTCTATGACCTGTCATAAGGACATGCATTCATCTGTGGCAATATCTCTTTGGGTACACTACCACATGTATAATATAGCATGTAGCATGCTGTACCATTTAGAACCCATTGAAAAAGACTTCTCAAAACAGGAGAGTAATTTTTTTCCAAAACATTCTCTAAGGACAAGTCAGCTGCAATCAATATTACTTATCTGTAATTTGAGTTTAAGGAAGGCCCATTTCCTCCATAGAGCTGGAGGAGACCTAAAAAGGACAAATGTACTTTAAACATAAAATTAGTTTCTTTACTCATATTTTTTACTTCCACAACTAGGACCAACTGCTCTGGCAATTACTTCTGGGAAGTAACCAGCCGTGCACGAACATCCTCAATAAACAGGGAAGGGAAGGAGGAGGAAAAGAGGAGAAAAACTGAACCAGAATCAGCTACATTATCCAGAGAAACCCTCAAAACAAGCTCAAAACAGGTGATCCCAAACAGGCAGGAACCACGTTTCCTTATTCATTTTTTTTTTAATATGTATATGTGTGTACACACACACACACCCCCTTCGGTTTTATTGTAATGCATGGAATTTAGAGCTAACTGAAGGGTTTTGCATTAAAAGAACTGCAAGCAGGGAAAGAACATCTTACAGTATTTGCTCAACAAGAATATAGAGATCATCCTGCTTATGTCTTTCTGCTTACAAAGCCAGAGAACAGAATTTCCTTTCAGTTGCTCCTGATTTGGAAAATATGAAATCAGGACTGGTTAGATTTATATTTAGTTTTGTTCAAAGTAAATTTTGAGTCCTGACTACAGATGGTATATGAAGTTGTTATTCCAACCTGTTTGAGGACTCTGGGATATATCAACAAACAAACAAACAAACAAACAAACAAACAAAAGGTGGTTTGACAACCACCTTGTCTGGAAGAAACTGCAGGTAAAACCCTTTGATAAAGAGGGCTACTATATTAATATAACCCTCTTGGTGGACCCAATGGCCAGTGGGAAAGAGATTTGAGATTAAGAAATTATGGCAATTTTTCCACTGCAGGTTTAAGAGGTGCCTTTGTCAGAAATACCCCATTTAGGCTCCATTATATGGCCTTAGATTTCTGAAAGGAGGCTCCTGAGAAAATGCAAAGTGGAAAGAAGAGATATGGGGATTCAAAAGAAAATAGAAGGAACTGGGTGTACTGTACTTTATGTGGACCATTTGGGGTGAAATCCTGACACTAGTGAAGTCAGAGGGAGTTTTTCCATTAACTTCAATGGTGCCAGGATAACTCTTGGACTTTCAGAAAATTCAGGCTCAGCTCTTATGAGAATTAGTCAGTAAGAAGTCTTTCATAACACACTTCTGAGATCAGTGGATGTGGGCTGAATACCCAGAAGTGGTGACCAGAGTTCTAGATACTGAAACAAATGGTGTATATACACAGGTATTCACTCATACAGTAGGCCTACAGTAGTTTATTGTTGACTTTGCTTTTCTGATACAGTAGGTTTTGAAGGATCTAGGGAAGATTTTTCTCTTCGAGAACTTACTTTATCGGATATCACAACTACTGTCAGAGGAAAGGAGTTCTCTTCCAAACAATATCAGAGAAAATAGTTTTCAATTCTGACTAAAGTCAGAGAAATGACTGAAGTCACTGAGATGTTGATATTTATTCCAGGAATTTAAAATTAAGATACAGTGGATGTTCATAGTTTGGTAACTTCTCCCCCAATAGTATTGTTTGTAGAAGCATACTTCCCTGCTTTCTTAGATTATTTTGGTGAAGTTAGAGGTTTAGATGTTATGATAGAACAAGGGCTTTCTGTACTCTTCTAAAAATTTATATTTAATAATGAAATATGAAAGTAAGGCTGCTATTCCCGATCACTTCCACTGAACCTTTCAAAGCTCCAAGAATTTCTTACAACTAAAAACCCATTGCAATTCTCCCATTAAGTCAAGGAATCTGTTAAAGTATTAACTTCAGCTGAAATTTCTAACTGTTTACATTATGTACTGACAAGATGCATTGTAAACTTCTTTTGATTTTTAAACACATTTTGTATGTTATCGTCAGTTCAACAGCCTTTTTGGTGTTAGCATTCATTATATGTAGACAGCAATCACAAGAGCTTTTCTGTAACTTTCTATTCTTTAAAGGAAATATAATGTACAAAGTGATCCACCTTTAACTGACATCTTATTATGCAGAGCTTTCTTTGAATGACTGAATGTTATGACAAATTTAATAAATATTTTAAGTGTATAAAGGATAGGTTTTCATAGTGATGACTTATTTCATAGAGACTTATACACAGCTGCCACAGATATTAGTGAGACTTGACAGCAGCTAAGTCCACACATCTAGCTTGAAATGTTACCCTATATTGTCTACAATTTCAAATGAGTCCAAATATTGTAGAAAAAGAAAATGACAATCAAAATATTGTATTAGTAGAAACAGGCAGGTAACACATCCAACATCTGCTGCTAGGATAATTGTGTTGCCACAGTGAGTAACCACACTAGAAGAGTTTTCTAGGCTACCATCAGATACTCTGATGAGCTAGAAACATTCTATTCAAGTAGAATCCCCACTTCTCCTAATTCTCCCTTACTCCCTTTACCTAACCCACTCCACACACCTACTCTTTCCTTCCTCCTGCTCTTGTCTTTGTACAGTCTTTCACAATTACCTGAATTGCCCACTGTGTGGAACCAGCAATTTCTTACTACACCAAACACACACCTTTTCTTAATTCACATCTCTCAAGGTAAAGTTCTTCTGTGGAGCTTTAAAATTATAATCTAAAGTGTGAAATTATATCAAAAAAGCAAAGAAAACACTTTTCAAAAACTGGACCTTGCCTGATCCATTCATGTATTAAGCACCTGAATTTTATTGTGTTATGTAAACAGTAAATCCTTTGTGAAAGACACCGTCTTCCATGCATGATACAGCCTGTTATTTGTACTTGTAAATTTGACATTTTTTAAAAAAAGTGACATTTTAGTATTAAATGTATATAGGACAGAAGTGCCACAACAAAACTAGCACATCCATAAAGAAACATCTCTACCTAGGGCTTGCCTACACTTACAGCACTGCAGCAACACAGCTGCATCACAGTTGCACTTACTGAAGACACTATCTAAGCCACCTCTCCACCTCCTTGAGCAGGGGTAGCAATATTGACAGGAGTAGTCCTCCCATTGATGTAGCGCAGTCTACACCAGGGGTTAGGTCGGTAAAACTATGTCGCTCAGGGGTAAGATTTTCCACACTCCTGAGCGACGTAGTTTATTATACCAACAAAAGTGTGTAGTGTAGACCAGGACTTGATAATGTAACTGTATTTAAGAGTCAGTCACTGCTGCTTCAATCTTACATATGCTATTACATGAGTTTGTTACTAGGACATTAAGGGCTGAATCCAGCTCTTCTATTACACTTTTTTTTTTTTTTTTTGAAAGATTGTTACTCGAGTAAGCCAATACAAGAAGTATTTTCATACAATAACGTTGCTAGTTTTATCATTTGCTTAGAGACTAAATATTTGGTAGCTGACATTCAAATGTAAGACTTTACTAATGAAACAAAAAAATATATTATTTTGCTTTCTAGTTAAAGGTGTTAAATCTTCTCCATCAATTTCTACAGCTTTCTCAGCCTGGTCACTGTCCTTTCTCAGTACTAAAAAACTATTAGCAATAATGTGTAAACAGCTTTGAGTAGAGACTATCAATGACATTTCAGGATCTGGTTATATCAGAGATTTTATTTTTGATTATACTAAGAATGTGTCCTCTTGTTTGATCAAGATACTCACAACAAATTTAATTATTCCCTGATAAATCAGACAGATAAGTGGATAATCAAACTGATGACATCACCAACACATTTCATGCAATTCTTTTCTTGGGATAAATGAGCCAGTAGGGAATTGGATAATTGCCCTGTGAAATAAGTGATAAGATTATTGCTTAATTAACTTTCATCTGCCATTTTAATGTCTATTAGGGATTTCTGGTTTACAGAAAGGCAGTGTGCCCAGTTCACAAAACTAACACTATGAATTTCTTCATATAATCATTTGGGATTATAGTTGAGAGAGACTGTTTTGAATGTAAAATAAATATTTATAGAATTAATTTAACTCAATGTGGTTTTCACTGTTTGAACTGACATCTAACTCTATAGCAATAATTAGAGTATTACTTAAACCATTTGAAATGACCAAAAAAATGTGATGCACTAATGCAACCTAACTTCCATTGATTTCAATGGATTTTGGGTCAGGCCCATATTTAGGTAGTTAAGTATATCCAATTATCTTATATTGATAGAAGATTGCTCCACACAAAATAATGGAAATCACAAGATCTTTGCCCATTAAGACTTACGTCTATACACACACACACACACACACACACACACACACACACTTTCTTGAA